CCATGTGTGTAATAACAGAAGAAACCATTATTAGGAATCCATTTCCTCATCTCCTTGATGTCTTTATCCCTAATATTAAGTCCTTACTTTGCATCATTATCAGCACTTTTAAGTCCTTGTCCAGGGCGCTGTCAAAAATTTCCTCAGCTTTACCTGTTCGTCTCAACACTGATGTCTGATCTCTGCTATAGCATTGCGCACCTGCTGACGTGTTAGTTTGTAATCTTTCTCTGGCCAAATTATATTCCTATGTTATCTTTTTCACTGTCTTGTGAACTCATCAAGGAAGGTACTTTCTGCTTTATAGCTTCTCAATTATATGCCTAAGGGTTTTTCTTAGATTTTTGTCCAACTTAAAAAGAAATCGCTAAATGATAAAATAGTAAAAATATTATTGAAACTACCCAGTTATGAAAAACAAATGAATGATAGAACAAGTGATAGAAATCTCCTAGCCTATTCTGAAGCATATCCAAAGCAACTGTGAAGTTAATTTAATGAAATTATTTTTTGAGGGAATTTTAAAATAACTTTTATTTTTATTACAAAGTCAGCAAGCCATTTAACATGGGGGCAAAATATAGAAAAGATCAATGAGAGAAAGTACTAAAAACCAAGTATAAATCTACCACTCATAAAAACCGTGACATTTTGATTTATGTTGTTAGGATCATACACGTACTTGTCTGAGGGTCTGTGTGTTTGTGTCTCATCTTGGGAATTGCCTAGAAAACTTTTTTAAAGCAAGAGTTGAGGAACTGGGTGGGGTATTTGAAAGCATTAATAGTAAGAAAGGATGAGTAACTAGCTTGAGACTGTTTATTCTATTAGATATATTACACAGCTTCTGTGCAAACAATTGCCAAAAATATGGAAATCAGAACATAGTATTTCCATGGTAGTTTTCATAATGGCATTGTATTACCTAAAGATGAGTAATCATCCCGACATAATACAGAACTGATTGGAACCACAATGTGGCATCAACAGGTGGTATACACTTCATTCCAAACTACTCTTTGATTTTTTTGAACAGTAATTATCTGGGAAGGCAAACTAGAGAGGGTGCATTAGACCCCTTCCAATTCCAGATTTTGATTCTTTAGTGATTGCCTCTGTCTTAGGCAAATTTGAAATTTCTTTCAGAGAAAAACTGATGAAAATAATTTTCACAGATATACTGATATAACAGTAAAACTCTTTGAACATCTTATAAAAGTGCAGTGTAAAATTATTACTAAATGGTTTTGACAGAAATTATTTACATTTATTGGAAAATATTTTGGATCTAATGAGATATTAGAAAACTTAAGAGTAATTTTTCATAAGCAATGCTGAAAGTCCCATTCTTAAGAACATTTGTAAAAGGAGTCTGCATGGATGAAAACTATTAGGAACATGGGATAAAAAAATTGACTTTTAAAGTAGCCATTTTGTTGTATATTACCAAGGTCTGGAGATAGATCTGGCACATAGTAGGCACTCGATAAATCATTGATTATTGAATGAACCTATATCTGAAACAACCCCTCACATGCATCCTGAGGATTTTTCTTCATCCCTTAGTACTCTAGGGGGTGCTGAGCTATCACAGATCTATATGCAGACTGGAATGAGGGGGAAAGTACAGTACAGGGAGTCAGATAAGAGTTCAAGTTGTGATTCTATTCACTAATTAGCTGTGTGACCTTGGCTGGCTAAGCCACAATGATCTCATTTGCAAAACGTAGATGAAAATATTTCCCCTTTCCCAGTATGACTTTAGACTCAAATGATGACAATTATTAAAACACTCTGAACAGAAAAGTAGTGAACACGTACTGGGCAGACTGTGCACAAGAGCCCTGACATCTCTTTCCAATTTCATTATAAATTTCATATGTGCATCTCTGCATCTGTTTATTGTATTATCAAATTTCCTTATCTCTAAATTCAAAATAAAAATGCTTACATACTGGGAAAATCTGCGTCCTCCCCCAAACATCCTCATCATTACCTTAAATTGGCCTCCTGTACCAAATGCATGCCTGCAAATTTTCTTTTCTAATATTTTCCCTCCCACAAGCTTTATTATGTGTGGTGCTATTTATGTTGTTAATAAGGGTTTCACCATTAAGAAGTCTGGCAACAGAAACAGTTTCATCCCCCTCTTCAATCTCTTTCAAGTTGCCTTTTTTACAACTGCATCTCTCAGACCTCTAAGAGCACTGATTGTAACATCACAAATAAGAGTGAAGGCGGTGGGAGGGATGGGGTGGCAGGGTGACAGACATGGGGGAGGGTATGTGCTATGGTGAGTGCTGTGAATTGTGTAAGACTGATGAATCACAGACCTGTACCTCTGAAACAAATAATACATTATATGTTAAAAAAAAAAAAGAAGAAGAAGATAGTAGGGAGGGGAAAAAAAAGTGAAGGGAATTCTCCATGAAGGCACAAAAGGAGATGAGAGACAATGATGAAATCGTGTGTATGTAAAGAAGTTTGTGTTAAGACTGCCTCCCTGCAAGTCTATGCAATACTGTGTCAATGGTATACACATCCATCTCAGAGGAAAAGAAGGGAGGCTTAATTCCTGGAAGTCTCTAGAAAGGTTTGTGCCTGGCTCAGGTGTTTCTTAGGAAGGAGTTCCGAGGGCAGGCCCAAAGCCTGGTAATTCCAGACAATCCAGAAAAACAATCTGTGGACAACTAAAAGTAATAAACATGAAATGTGGGGTCATGCATAATACAGAGGAGGTTAACTCCATAGTATAGGGCAGAGAAGAACAGGAAAATCACAATGAAGAAGTCCTATTCCACTCTGGTTCTCTTACTTCTCCACATGGGGAGCCGAGGAGGGGACAGGAAGTACTGCATCTGTTCAGTGTTTATAACAGAACTGCCAAGTCTACATAAAAACAAATCTGTTGCTTCCCAGTCATGCTGAAGTTGGGGGTTTTAGCACCCAAAAGAGTTGTGTAAAATGGGGTAAACAGGTCTCACTGGCAGGGGAATATACCTGTTTTCATCTCTTCTCTAATGTCTCATGGCTAATGTTCTTATTTTCTTCCTGGAGACCTTCAGTGGAGCACAAAGTTGTAATACAAAACATCTGTTCTAGCATAAATTCTCCTGGAGCTACTGATGCTTCACATAGAAGATATAACAAACAGTCAATTTAGCAATTTACGGCTGCTATTTTTGGGGTTTCTGTTTAAAAATGTATTTATTAATATACCCTAATCACACACAGCAAGATCTGGCTAGGAGAGACAGAGTTTTAACATCTATGATGTTTTCATTAAGAAAAACAGGTAAGTCTAGAAAGTGTCCTTAGTTGAAAAGAACCAGTTTCCACCCCCCTCCCCAATGGAGTTCTTCAACACACTTGGTTTGATTTACTACAAACAATAAATGGCAAATGAGTGCAAGGGACTTGAGAGCCCTAAACAAACTTCTTGCCTTTTTCATTTTGTATTTTCACCATAGTAAATGCTTAATAAGTACTTTTTGAATAACTAAGATATATAACCTGTGTGTAGACAGTGAAACATGAATAAAATAATTTGCATTATACATGGTGCATGTATACACACAAATGCACATGTGCACACACATATATATAGACCTATACATGTAGAGGTACTATTCGTGTGTAATTTGCTTTCAACATCTGAACATTCCAAGTAGGAAGAATATAGATCCTTGAGATATAAAACTAAAGTCCTTAGGTAGACCAACTTTAAAGGTCTTGAGATAGGTTCTTTAGGGTGATATCCTGGGGCCTTTATGTAGATAACACAGTGAAAATTCTGAACACAGGGCACGATCTCTGAAGACTGGTTTTTTACACTTACATATTTGCCAAGATTATGCTGTGGAATTTATTACCTCCTGAGTGTTCCAAATGCAGAAAGAGGGAAACTAGGGAAACACCTCTGGTTACTTCTTTTTAATGCAAAGCCCTAGTAGACAGGATCCCTTTTGTAGAAAATCCTCAGCATCCTCTGGGTTGACTGCGACCACCGTTGCAACTTTCCTCCGCTCCAGGCCGGTTGAAAATGCTGGTGCTTTGAGGTTAGTTTCTTCAAAGGATTTAGGAAGGAATATTTCCTCCCTCTAGTTCACTATACAAATAAACTGAAGTTCACAGAGGCCAAGTGACTTGCCCCAGAACTCATGGCCAGTAAATAAGTTTTCCCGTTTAAGTACATCCGCAATAACAAGGATTCTCAGACCCTGTACTAGTCTCATTATCCTACCCTTATGGTAATGTTTACCAGCCACTCGGAAAACAACTGCAGATTGAGGACTGAGGGGGGAAGGGTAGGAAGTGGTAATTAGCAAATCCCTGGGCCTGGGGGTCACCTGCTCGCTAGGATCAAAACAGTGAAACCAGCTTTCCTAAGGACCTCAAGGACGAGTGGGCCATTGTTTTCAGAACCAGCTGTGGAGAATCAGCCTAAGAGTGGCCTTGGAACAGCTGAGGCTGCTTGCACCAAGAGGCGGGGGCGGTAGTGGTGGAAGAGTGAGCTAGGAAGGATCGCTGGCAGGGACCCTGCCTCGCCACCTCTCGGCAAACCAGGAAGTAGTTCTGCTTAAGTGCAAAGGACTGAGCCGCCTTTTGAACCGAAAGTGTGAACGGCACACAGCAGGCCCCAGATGGGCTTAGTGACTGCAAACCCTCCGCGGGCAGGGTGCCCAGGCGGGGGGGGGGGGGGGGGGGCCGGCTGCGGCCTGGCAGCTAAATGGTCAGAGTCGGAAGCACCAAGTCGGCGCTATCAGAAAGTACACAGAGCAAAAGAGGCTCTGCTATCCTGGCAAACCCTGACCGAGTTAATCTGGGGTAAACCAGCCTCCAGACGCGCGCCCCCCTGCGCGCATTTCCCTACCCCGCATTTCCCACGAGCCCCGCACTCAGCTCTGCAGCCTCAGACGCCCTGTCTCTGCGGGCCCATCTTCCGATCGCCCCACCTTTCGGCAGGGCCCTTATTCCCACAGCGGGCGCACCGCACTCACCATCTCTTGCCTGAGGAAGTGCAGCTTGGTTTCCAGCCTCTCCAGGGCGCTGCAGTGGCTACGACGTGGGGAGACAGAGGTTGGAGAGGACGAAGAGGAGGACGACACGGAGGGAGGGAAGCTGCAGCTGCTGCTGCTACCACTGCAGCCGCCGCCACCGCCGCCGCTCCCCCCGCAGGGGTCCCTGTCCCTTTCTAGGGGAACCGGCTCCTCCCCACGGAGCGAGCGCACTAGGCTCTCGGGTACTTTGCGCCCCAGCTTCAGCTCGATGTCTCTGAGGTCTGGCAGCGGGCCGTCTTCCATGACTTTTCAAGAACGAGGATAATGGTAATGAGACCAAGCGGATGAGAGGCAGCCGCGGCCTCCAAGGCTGCGGCGAAACGAGCGGACCCCTCCCGGCGCCGGGGTCTCTATCCTCGGCGGATGGAGTGCACCGTCCGCTCCATAACCGCTTGCGCTGTTCTCAACCCTGAAATCCGCGCAGGACGAGGCAGCTCGCAGCCTGGGTGCTGTGGCTCCTTCGACACTTACTGAGATTTTAGAGATCGCTTCATCCTCTTCCTTTTGGCTACCCCACTGCCAAACGGAGTTAACTGATACTGCAGAGAGGACAAAATCCAAATATTACAAACCCAAAGAAAAGGGAAATGAAGTCTGCTTTGGCTTTATGGGGGGGGGAAATTCACACTATAAAACTGTCCGTTCACATCTCTGCATCATTCACTGGTTGCCCATCTGGTACCACGCGACACAAAGTAATGATGTGGCCACACTCCAGGGTCGTTTCATTTTCCAGCCATATGTCTCCAAGCTTTCGGAATATTCTGGATTGTCAGAAATAATCCCTGGTCAGTGATAGAGGAGGTCGGTCGTGAGACGGTTAGCTTAGCAGGAGTTTAACGGCTTCCTTGTTGTAGCAGAAATGCCCTTCTTCTCATTTAGGCAGTTTGATCCAAGTCATTGTGTTCCTCCGAGCCTTGGAAACTTTAAACTCCGCTGGCAGGTGGACCAAACCAGGGCCAACCCTTCTACCGTATGTCACAGGAAAGAAGAGCAACGGAAATTTCCCCACCCTGTTGCTAGCAGCAGTTTCGGCGAACTGCTTTAGTTGGAAGTACCCTAATATGGGTGTTAGAGTTTCAGTTTTCCCAGCGAAATTGCCCGATGATAGCCACAACCTTTAAAACAGTTAACAAAAGTTGGAGGAAGAAGGTTGACTTTAAATGTAGTGTCATTCCCCACCCCCATCTTCCTATACAGCAAAAGTCTAGCTTTAGAAGGCTTTCCTACTTTTACACTAGTAAAAAAATGAAATTATTTCACCAAAAGTTCTGTAGGAATGTATAGCCAGAATGAATTATCTTACCAAATGTTACAGTACTTCACTGCAAGAAGTGAAGAATTATATAGTCAGAATAATTTATATGACCACTGTGGTAGGAGTGGATTTTTAAAGGAGGGAAGTTGCTGAGCTACTTTTCATTATGGAGAAAAAATATTGAACGGAGCTAGTGAAAAAGTTGTCTTTGATAAGTTAGCTATATATTTTTTAACTATTTGGAAGAGACTTAAAGCATACAATTTATGAGATACTTTTACCAAGTAAGTTACTATGAGCTACACAGATTATAGGTTTGACTCAACATTGAATTTGTGTTAATGATCTTCAAGTAGAGGATACTGTTGTCTATTCAGTAAACTCTCATTTTGGGGTTCCACTGGAATGTTTGAAAATACGGGCTCCTCTATTTTTGGGACCAATAAATATTTGTGTTCTTGTTCCTTCATGGGCTCCATTCCCAAACATCACTCAGGTTTTATACTGAGCACATGGGCAAATACATTTCAGAAACTGTTCTCAGTATAGCCTCATCTAAGAATTATAAGGATAGAGAACATAGGCCTTCAGAATGAAATGTTCCATGTCAGGGAGAAAATTGCTAAAGTTCTCTTATCAACATGCCAGAAATTTGTGTGTTATTTCTCACTCTTAGAAATTAATGAAGAAAATATTTGTAAATTAGGTGGCCCATTTTAAAGTTGGAAGAACCACTTATAGACTCGAAGGAGAACAATGCTAAATCTCAATTCACTGATAAAACATGCTTTGTCCTAAATTTGGAAAAACCACAAACTCATTGGATAAGAATCGCTCTGTGACATATAATCATGGAAGGCTTGCATTTCAGTCAAGAGCAGGTTGTGTTTGTGTGTGTTTAAGATTTTATTTATTTATTTGACAGAGAGAGACAATAGGCAGAGAGGCAGGCAGAAGGAGAGGGAGAAGCAGACTCCCCACTGAGCAGGGAGCCCGATGTGGGACTCTATCCCAGGACCCTGGGATCATGACCGGAGTGAAGGCAGACGCTTAACCTACTGAGCCACCCAGGCGCCCCATGTGCGTGTGTTTTAAACCCTTACGAAGTTCAGCATAGGGCTGGCTGAGAAGAGCCGCTCACAAACACAATAGCTAGCTTGCACTTGGTCAATTAAAAAAAAAGAGTATTGTCAAATTATCAGTGTAAATGTCTAACAAGGGAAGGGAATACCTCCTTTGCTGTGAGTCACAGACAGTAAAGTTAGTACTTGATACTGAAGTTGAGAATTCAAAAATATAAAAGTTTATTTTTTTTTTCATTTTGAATGTCTGCTGAGAAAACTCCTCAGAAAATAAAAATAAAGCCCCAATGTATCCAGCGTCAGCTTACAGGGCTTTGTTAGATTCAAGATAACCTAGAATGCCCTTAAAGATCTGGGTGGTCAGCTTTTTGTTCTCAGTACCTTGAAGGCAGGAGGGTGGGAGAAAAATTGAAAACATTAATGTGGAGAGTTAGAGCCAGATACTGGAGGAACTGGAAGAATTGAAATTTTGGTAAGGACCGACAAAATATGAAAGGCAGCGGGATCCAGTTTGCAGATAGATAAAAACCCTCAAAGATGAAGAACAGGACCAGAATCTGGTAACTCACAAAGGTATGCTGGAGTTTTCTTGTAATTTATGAAACATAAATATTTCCTATAGTTTATGAAACATGAAATTTCTTTCCTTAGTCACCCTCTTTTTTGATTCTTGTTTACAAAATAAATCTGGTCTCATTAAGAAAAAGGCCTGTATGTAAAGTAACACTTTGTGCCAGTGCAATATAAAACAAATGCAAAAATTTTAAGAAAAGCTGTTATGTTGAGCCTTTCAAAATTTCTCAGTTTAATGGTTTATGTCATTTAAAAGTAGAGACATTTGGGGGCACCTGGGTGGCTCATTTGGTTAAGCTTCTGCCTTCGGCTCAGGTCATGATCTCAGGGTCCTGGGATTGAGCCCTGCATGGCTTCTCCCTCTACCACTGCCCATCTCCCCCCACCACACCTGCTCATGCTATTTCTCTCTCTCTCTCTCAAATCGATCAAGCAATCAATCAATAAAGTCTTTAAAAAATAGAGACATTTTGAATGTCAAAATGTTAATTTTCAAAACATATTAGAATCACAGAACTGTTATTAGGCTTCTTATAGATTGTGTTAACTCTGTCATTAATGCTTTATATGGTCTGGTCTAGGACATTCCTTACCCAAAATGTTAAAAAATAAGGGTCTATTGTTTTTTACCTTTGAGTCTTGAGAATACTTCTCCTATCATTAAAAAAAAAAAGCGTGAGAGATTTAACCACTTGCTAACCTTGTTTGTAAGCCTTGTATGTTAATTACACATCTTGATTTGGGAAATTAGCTGTCGAGAACTTGTAGTAGTGGGTTTAAAATGGGGGTCTGGGGTGAGAGTGAGGTCATCACAAATAAGAAAGAGGAAGAACAGAGAGAAATAGGGAAAAACTCTTCTCAATAATCTTTTCCTATTTCCCCAGCTCTCACTCTTAACAGCATTCCCTCCCTGCTCCTACCCTTCTTGTCCATCTCCAAACACCTCCTGTTTTCCCAAGACTAACCTACTGAAAAGTAAAATTATAAAAAATAGTTCTTATATTATTTGTTTGTGTTATAACTTTTTAGATCCAGACTACTTTATTATCTGCTTCCTTTTCTGATTGCCTCAACTGTGAACTGGATTTGCCCTTTATTTTTCTATTTAGAATGCCTAAGAAATCTAAGCATGAGTGTTCAACTATGGAGAATAAGAGACATTTTCCTTCCCAGTTGGATTGTGTTCACAGAAAAGGCAAGAGAGCCTCTTACTTATCATTACAAAAAACAAAACAAAACTAAAAAGAAGCATAGTGGCTAATTAAACAGGAACATTGTTGGACTCAGATGACAGGTTTGAAAAGAATGCCTCAGTCACAGAAACAGATGATGTGATGCACACTTCACACATTCCACCCTTAGAATGCTTCCTGGTATGAGATACAGTACTTTCAGCAAAAGTAGACTCAGCAAGACTCTGTATTGCGTGAGTCATGCCACTGCTATATCTGCTGCTGGCATTGTGGTTAAAAGAAGAAAGGCCTTCCACCTTCTCTCTGGCCCTGGTTGAAAGTTTGTGGCATTCCCAACACTGGCGGGCAGAGAGTTCAAGCATGAGGGCAGAGTCTCTAACCTGAGACTGCACTTCCCACAGTGCAGAATAATAACAAGCAGCTCACAGCCTCAAATTACGCCTAAGAATTTTAGGAAGTAACTATTTCATGGGCAACAGATTCTTTGAATTTGTGTCTTAAATGTGTAGAGCTGCTGTTCCTATAAATGTTTTTGTTCATCTGATGAACTGCTTGACAAGGACGATGTCATCGCAAAACTAAAGAATGTTGATCCTATCCATACAGAGTAGAATTATAGATGTGCTAAAGCTATGAAGACTTTACCCTGCCTGTTTATAGTCATTTAATTCACCTATAATTTTGTAGGTGAGTTAGATCTGTTTTACTAAGTAAAATCATCTAGTTTGTTACCAGCTAGAGCAATTTTTACATGTGTATGTCATGTATATTGCCCTGCCTATCTATCTATCTATCTATCTATCTATCTATCTATCTATCTATCTATTCATCTATCATCTATCTATCTATCTGAAATGCCTCTCCCTAAGGAGCGCAGATCCTTTAAATAGTACTGATTGGAATCTAATTAATATTTATAATCACAGCTAAACACTTCCCTGGGAGATTTAGTAGACAATACTAAAAGTAGGTCACCAGCATCTAAGTCTGCCTTATCCCCTCTTCACAATCCCTGTCAAATCTCTCCGTCTTCATTATTTGTAATAGAGTCCTTTATTTGCTTTTACTTGCTTTTCTGAATTCCTACTAAAAGGTGCAGAGCAAGGGCTCAGAAAAGTGATCTCTTAGGTGAAGTTAACCTTGGTCAGTTCCTCTGTAGCCATTCCATTTTGCCTCATAGAATGGACCTAGAGGTTATTTCAATGGTGTACTGGTAAATGTTTGCAACTGCCTCTCTGAAAACATAAAAATAACTGATTTGTAGCTTTTGACAGTTTTCATGGTGTAAATATTCCCACTATGGCTGATTTCAAATTTCCAGTGTGAGTTGAGAAGGGATGAGCACTAGCACAGCTTTATAATAGTATTTCCCCCATATAGATACATTAGACATAAGTAGCTTCAAGAGCATAGATCGTAGTAAAATGTAGTCAAATAATTAGGAAGTGATGCATTTTGATTATTTATTGCCTTTGTTTTAGAGTAATTTGCCTAATTTAAAGCTTATACAGTGTAATTTTTGAAATAATGGCTGTGTCTAGCAATCAAGTTGCAAAATTTCTAAAAATTTAATAATCTGCTCCTGCAAACTGGTATGGGATGCTTCCAGTGCATGTCTGGTTCATAAAATATTGGAGGATGATCATTGATTATAGTTAAGAAAGGAAACAAAATTCAAAGTCAGAAAAAGCGTGCAGGTTAAGGTCTAAAGGTTGGGCAAAGTGATGCTTGGGGAAATGAGTTCCAAAGTCAGAAGCAGGAAGATTAGGGAACTCATGAAAGTGTGTGT